AAATAAAACGTTAAAGTATGATCATGCTGAGTGGCCACTTTTAAAGTTTAAATGCATTGTGCTGTAGAGTAACATTTATAGTGATGCACTGTATTTTATAGAGTGTTCATGTTCTGTAAAGTATACTTGAGTGAAAAATATAATATTTCCATCTGAAATGTAGTGAGTTTAGGAGCAGAACAAATTTTAATACTCAAATACCTCAAAATTGCAATATCTGAGTATTAAATGCAATAATTTACCGCTATCACCTCCTCAATGTGAGGGGTGGGAACTGAACAACATGTTGGGACAGAAAAAACAACACGTATGTAACACCACATTTTATTTATTTATGTTTTTTTCATTTGTGGAATCTTTGTTTTTCTTCTTGCTTTGTCTGCCAGGAACAAAAAAACAGAAAATATTCATGATTAATGCGAAATGAAGAAATGATGTGAATATCTAAATAATACTGCTAATGTAAAAAAAAAGAAAAAGTGACAGTATCCCCACAGAACCAATAGCGATGTCATTTTAATCATATTCTCCAAATGTATTTTTGTTTAATAAGCCTTAAATTGTAGGCCATAATGTTGAGATACTCATCAAAATTGGGTAATAACTACTTTTTAAATGCTTTTAAGTATAATAATTGTAGCAAGTCTACTACTGACTAAGTATCAACTTAAAAAGGCTCTTTCATATTATCATATTGACTTTCAATAGTTTTACTTCAAATTAGTACATTTTTTTTCCATTCCCAGCATTTCATCTTATTTTTATTTCTGTGTGTTTATGGGTTTCTGCACAGGCCTCTGAACCTCTCTCAGATTCCACCCTCTGAAAGGCAGTCATCACTGGTTCAAACTGACCCACAGAAAGAAAAACAGCAGGGTATTTCCACTAATTATTATAATCTGTGAAGGAGAAGCTTTGCTCGGGCCCATGTGCAGCTTGGTTCCTCTAAAGTGGGTGACATTATAATATCTACAACGCAATCCTCATGACAACAGGGCCTGTTTTATCTGGTGATTTAATGGTTTCATTTCGAATGAGGTGCTGCCATTACTGTTGGAGTGTCAGTACGCGTGCGTGTTTGTGTGTGTGCACGTACCCAATGTCCTCCTCTGTCTGCATCTACCAATAACTTCACTTTCCTTACTTTGTGTGCACGATGCATGAAGAATTTGTATATAAACCTTATTGCTCGCGACACTATAAAATGTGTTCGAAAGTTGCGCGCACACACACACACACACACACACACACAAATCGGGGGTCACATTCGTGCGTGAGAGTTCACATTTCACACAGTATGTCGCTTATTAAACCGAGGCCGATGTGGAAGTTAATTGTGAGATGCCGGAGATTGTCGGCAACATCCGAAGATGACGATTAGCACACGAGCGACGGGGGCCAGTGAGTGTGTGTGTGTTTTCTGTGTGTGTGCGCTGAACTGAGCGGAGGTGAAGAAGAGGAGGATGAAGCTGGGAGCGGAGGATGGGAGGAAGAGTGGAGTAAGAGACAGGCTAGCCGTGTGTGAATGTGTGAGTGAGTGAGGAAGAGGAGAGGAAGGTCGTCCGAGGGACCGAAAACAAAGACTTACATTTTTTGGGTTCACCTCTGGAACGTTTCTGGCGGAAACTTTCAACTTTTTACCCGCCACAGCTCGGCTTGTTGTGCCCGGAGCCGGCTTTGTTTCGCGGCGGGGGTGTCTACGATAAATGAAGGAATAAAATAGATCACCATCGACCATTTTCTACCCAAGCGGGGAATACCCTGGGACTGTTTTTGACAAAGGTTACGAGAGAATGGCGGCTAACATGTACCGAGTGGGAGGTAAGGAATGTTTTACATTTTTAAGACACCCCCCTCAACGTGATTGTTCGTTTCGACACAAGGTGGCTAGCTAGCCGCTAGCTGTCTGTCCCGTTAGCCGCTAACTAATGCTAACTCTTTACTAGCGTCTGTACGTGCGTCCACTCTTGCATGGAAGAACGTCAAATGTATTAAAACATCCGAAAATGCAATGTGACTTCAGTCAATGGGGAAATGTAAAGGATTCCAACATTATTTCTGGGTTTGTACTCAGTTGTGACTTGCCAAAACTGCTCCTGTATTCGGTCTGGGTAGTTTAAACTAAGTAGAGTTTATATTCAGGAAACATGAACTTTTAAAAACGATTGGTGTGAAATCTCGAGTAATCCCCCCACGACGACTGCCTGCCGAGCAGTGCGAACTTGTTTCCGAAAGTTGGCAGTTAATTCATAATAAACGCAGCCTAGTCGACCGGGAGAGTTCGCCGAGTCGTATTTGTAGTTGCAAGTAAGCGAAGCAAACGTAAATTGTCACATTTTCTGACGTGGAGACTTGTACATATGGTTACGTCCTGGAAGTGAACACAATGCTAGTTAGCATTAGCTGCTAGCTGCCGAGAGGTCAGTATCGAACTAGCGACGTCTGCTGGAGCTAGCTAAAGCTGGTCGGCTGGCTTTGTCGCTGGGGTGGGTTAATTTCATTATCGCCTCCGCCATATCACTTCATATGCAACGGATAGCGTTAGCCGTGCTAGCTAACTTTGATTGCTAAGTTTCAAAATTACGCACCATATGTTGCCAGTCAGCGTGATCGCCCCTTTCATACAAACAGTTACGGGTTTGCCGAGAATAACCACACTATCTTATATGGGGAAATATAAGTGAAACACATAATTAAGCTTTAATCCCGGAATGAGATGAACTAAGTTAGCTAGCTAACGCCAACTTGCTACCAGGATAGCAACTGCAGTATCAGTGAGACTTCCCTTTTTTAATGTCCAGCTGCTGGATGGAAGCTGTGCTACCTCGGGCAAATCAAATGAAATAATTGATAATAGTTCCCCTATCACCTGGTAATGTAAATGGCTTGCATGATACAGTTAAAGCGATGCACGCTACATCATTGCTAACACCGGGTTTCTAAATGCCCCCCCCTCATCGTGGAGAGAAACGAAACGCCGGTAGGGACTGCTAGCTACCCGCTCGATTGCCTTCACCCTATTTTCCCCCACTTTGATTGATCTTGCGATGAGAACCAGTGCACTCTGTCGTTGTGGATGTACGCCTGTCATCTCGTCTTTAGGACTTTGTGTACCTTCTCTGAGTCTGGTATTGTGGCGGCAGAAATGGCTGAATTGGCAGTCAGACTGTGACAGGCTGTATAAGGTCACATAGGAGTCTGTAGTCTATATAGGTCATCCCGATTAAACACTACACTGCTAAACGTGCTGCGTAATTCTTCTTAATAGTTTGAGTTTGTCCAATTTCAGAATAGCTTTTCACAATGTAAAGGGTTGTATTCTGACCTGTTTCTGTTCTGCATCATGTGTCAGTTTGTTCACAGGTTATTACGCTGGTATTATGTGCCTGAAACTCATATTTTTGTGGCACAATGCTTGCTCATTGGTGGTGTTAGTGGTAAACTTGCAGATTGGGATGATATTGGGCTTTAAGGAAATATCAGGTGTTGATTATTCAAACAGTGGCTCAGAGTTTTTCAGTTTCATTCATGGTGTACTATTATATCATTCATTGGTCTTTTTTGCAAGAGACAACTGACACTTTAAAGTTATTAAACTGGTGTTTCAATGTCCTGTGATGGTAAAAAACACAATTTCAAGATTCCTACCTGGCTATTACAGCTTATGTATTCAGTAGCCTTTAGTCACCTTTTATAAAGTTTTACTGTATTGGCGTTAAATTAACCTCACTGATGGGGTTTTCCATATTCTAGAAATTGTATCCCATCAATTGCATGTTTCTTTTGTGTTAAAGAGACCTCTCATCAGCACGTGCATTCACTTGTCTCTTTCTCTCTGTGTACCTTTGTGTGTGTTGCTGCCACAGCAAGTGTCCTTCTGTATGGCCGTTTGGCTCAGTGGCCTTTCGACTTCCACACTGTTAGTCATGTGGATATGCATAAAATGTTTGTTTGTAATGCAGAGGAGGGATTTCGAGTAATGTAATCTTAACACCTGTGTGCATGCAGAGTTAAAAGTAATAAGTAGTAAATAACTACTCCTGGACACTTGTTTCTTCATTACTAAACATCTATGTTTTGTTACAGAAACTGCAAGAGAATACCTGGTGAATGTCACTATACCGAACTTCAGCATATTCATCTTGTAGCACTAGTTCATGCCCATTTTGTTGCCTCATCCTGGCCTCTGGGGAATTATGACTGAATTTTGACATCCAGCTATCACTTCAAATTTTTAGCTGGTGCTGAGCTTTGCTGGCTAAATGTATCAGCATAAAGTATTAAACTTCATGACAGACGTAAATCAAATATTGTGCAGTTAGTCTGTGTCCAAACACTTCTGTCCGTGTCACCACTGTGTAACACCACTGCACAACCTTGAATGTTCCTGTAGCTCCAACAGAGTGCGACATCGTAGCATTTCATGTTGGGAATGGGGACTGTAAATCTGCACTCAATTTCATTCATTTCAATAAACTGAGCTTACAGACTTTTGAACCACAACCTTTAGTATTTGGAACAAGAAGCATAATTGTGTGTCTGTGTTTGTGTGAGTGAGACTGTCAGTCATCAGCGATGGATGATAGCATCTTCCATCACTCCATCCCCAGTGTAATTTTAAGTCTAGCCCGTATAATATTACAGCTAGAAACAAGCATATGATTATTTAATGGCTTCCAAATTGACATTTAAGAAGCCCACAGTAACAAGGTTACGTTATTTGGTTTTATAATGCAGAACTGATAAAACTGATGTATTTGGTGATAGGGACCCCACCAGTAATGTGTTAGACATTAATCTGTCAGAATGAGTTAATATTCCTTAAGCAAGTGTCCATGGATTTTGCACTCAATGAGGATTTCTTTGTTGTAGCTGCCTGGTACAGGCAGTTCTGTATGAGTGAGCGCCTATATTACCAGTCCTTCAGAAGCACAGTGTTGAGCCTGCATGTAAGATCATTATCTTCCCCAGAGATTAGTCAAAGGCCTTCCTCCTCTTCATTCACCCTCTAGCACCCTGCATACTGCACCACTCCAGCCGCATACGTCCACAACAAACACAGCTGCCTCAGCAGATGCTTTCTCCCTTATGATCTTTTTTTTTTTTCTATACCCACTAATACTTATATTCATACATTAACATTGATGAGATGTCTTTTTCAAGGGGAGATTGTGTGATTTCTCTCAAGCGCATTATTTATTTATATATTTTCTTTTTGATCGATCCATTGAACCCATCCCTCTCATTGATACACTCTGATGTCAGTGCTGGTGGAACATGATCTTTCGTTGCCTCATCCCATTGGGAAAGAAAAAGAGATGGGCTGCCTGAATATAAAAGAATAATTCCCTCCCTGTCTGTCATGTCAAGCACATCATAGTGTAAACCCACTCTTGGTGCTTCAGCCAGTATTATGTAATGTGGTGAGGTTGTGTTCCTTCACTGGGAACGAGGAAGCAGAGCTCCTCTGGTCTCGGTCCCCATCACTGTGTTAAGTAGAGCAAGAAATCCTCTCTCTGTCTGAATCCTTCCTTCTCCATCTCTGCTCGTGGTGATTCATCAGAAAGCCACTGATATCCTCCTGAGCCTCTCCGTCCCTGCCTGTGGGAGGACCAGATGGAGCTTGACGCGGAATCCACACTGCATCAAAAGCTACAAGGAAGCACTCCATGTGAACTAGTGGTGCGATGAGTGATAAATGCCTGGGGGTTTGAGCGGTACAAGGTTTAAAGGCTGAACTCATAAGTTCAAGCTGTCAACAGCTGATATTTTAAGTCATGGTTGCTATCATTAAATTTGTTGAGCTAAATCTAAATAACTTAGTTAGGCAACAGTTAAAAGCAAATCACCAAGAGAGTTATGGATACAGTGGGGTTTTCTAAGTGTTGGGCTTTATGAAATGAGATTTTGGTTATATCTGATCTTTTATATCCACATAACAATACCTATGATAATTTGTAACTCGGGCCTAAATTGTTCAAGTCTGTGGTTGGTTTGTAGGCTTCAGCTGATTCCTGCATAGGTGGTAAGAGTTTAGTTGAGTTTTAAGTTTTTTGAGGACCATAGCTTGCAAAGTGGTCAGTGGTCAGTCAAACTCAAACAATGTCTATGTGAGGTAGCTCCTCTTTAAGAGACAAGCTCCTGGTTTTGTCTTGGTCAGTTGGTGTCTTTCTTCTATTCTGTGTCATGCTCAGTCTTCAACATGTTTGTTTGTATTGCCTATATGCAAGTCTCCTGCCTATGCTGTGTGGAAAAATGCAAATAGAATGCTATAAAGAGTGATAAACGACAAATATAAGAACACATTTTTTTAAATTGTCACATAACATCTGGTGTCATTGATAGCTTTAGCTTATTTGGCTTTTCCACCAATTCCACCTGTTATTAACATACATGTTATGTCTACATTATGTTAACAGATGTTATTCCCTGGTATCACTAATTGGTTATTCTTGCTCAACTATTTAGCACACTTGCATGTGTCATATATTCATCTTGATTTGGTTTGGTTTTATTCCGTCGTATATGTCTATCATGTGACATCAGGTCACAGGACTTTGCATTTACACCTGGCATTTACTAGTGATCTTGTTATGTAGACTCTTGTTGGTATCTCAAAGTGCAAATGTTAAGGGTGGAGCCAGTGGACTTCCACATCAGGGTTATAGAAATAACAGGAAGAGGCAGCATTACGTAGCTTGAATATGGCAAAACTCTTAATCACTGTTATTTTGTTTAATGGGGAGATCACGTATTATTTAACATAATTACTTACTGACATTGGAAACATGCGCCTTTTGAACTTGGGGATTTCCTTGAAGTTTAAATGTAAATCAACCAGGAAGCAAATAAAAAACTAATTGATAAACTGGATAACTAGGTTGTTGTGTATTTCCACCATTGCAAAAAGGAGTGTCCATAATTAATGTTGCAGTGAAACAAGTTGAAAGGGCTTTACTGTTGTTATTTTTTTCCTTTTATTGTTTGGCCATAGACCACTTTGATTGAATTTCAGCTCATTAGGCAAATTGGTCAAATTGCTTTGTATTACAGACATCTCTATGTAACAAACTAATGGGACTACCTGAAAACCCAAACATTTTCCCAAACAACTGAATTTGTTTTTTACTAGTCCAAATGCTCTCTTTCCATCATCGCTCCCTGAGTTGATCTAACCTTGCCCTCAGCCTGGTTGAGCGTGAGTGTAAGCTTTTAGGGAGGGTGAAAGTGCACTGCTAAGTTGGATTTGATAACGCAAGGCGTCATACCAAAACAGTGTGGCACAGTTATTGTTGTCTTGATTATTCTCTTGTCATAATCATTGTAGGCCAAAATCCCTACGAGGAATATTGACCAATTGGACAGCCCTACCTACCTGTACATGTCCTGAAGTAGTTTGGCTGGTGGAACTGCATTCTGGTTGCAGTCTCATTCCACCTGCATTATAATAACATTCTTTCCCCACATAAAATTCAAATGCAGATGGGATACAGGTCCTAGGGTGGAGATGTGGTTGTTTCATTTTGTAGTCCACTTCAGTTGTTGTCAGTGCGCCACACACTAGGCTGCCCCATAGTGTCACACACTAGACTCTCTGTCCAGCATAGTGGGTTTAATTCACCAGTGTCTCCCACAGGTAACAAACCCCTACAACACAGACACGTGAACTCTCTCTCTTGTCTCTGGCACTGTACACACCTGGTATTAACAAGTGGTTTTTGTGATCTGATCACAAGTGGAAAGCTCTAAATACAGGTGTGAATAGATCAGATAGGGATCCAATCATGCCAGACCACATTCAGAGGTGGTCTGGGCCACATTTGTCCACATTCTTTTAGCAGTGTGAACGCAAATCCGTCCTGGGCCACCAATGAAGGACGTCCTACTCAGCTGGCGTCTTCTGAGCCGCTGCGGTTTCATTACCAATCAAAGTATTTTTTCCTCTTCTTGTTGATTTGTTTGTAACCACTGTCACAATATCAGCAGTGATCACCACACAATTATCAATACTTTCATCTATTTGGTAAAATCTTTCTTCACAGCTGCACGAGATTCATTCAGACTCTCCAAACTCGTCTCTGTACCTCTCCAAACCCGCTCAAAACAACTCTGTTTCGTCTTAACTAACGCAAATATATACGTGGTAATTTGCATGTAGAGTAGGGAAGTGAGATCCGATCACAAGTGGTCAGAGGAGACACATTTAGGACGCATTTTAATGCCAGATGTGAACACACTGACTGACTGCTGGCCGCTTGTGATTGGATCTCTCAGGGCAGATGTAAATATCTCTCTTTCTCGCTCAGGTGCTTCACTGATACTAGCACAGAGGAGATCAGAGACAGGACATGTCACTGTCTTAGTCTGCTTGGTTTTTCTGACTGTAAACAAACCTTTCAGTCCTAATTTCAAACCAATGGGAGGGAGAAAGAGCAATAAACAGCTGTTTCTTTACACCCTGAAAGACAAGTTGTGCTCAGCACATACAGTAGAACCATGAGGGCTCATCTGAGGTCATAAGTCATTTAGCATGATGTATGGTCCCATTCAGATATTAGATTCAAGGCAAAGTGACACAAAGTGTTGGAATTTTGTGGTGATCATCTGCCCACATATCCAAAGTTAGGGTGTAATAATTCTGAAACCAAGACCATGATGCAAACATCCTCAATCTCCTACTGTGACCCTGATGCCATCACTACAGGAGCAGCCTGTTGAGCTCTCATGACTTCACTAATGTAACATTTCACAATTCACACTTGATAATTCTATTCAAGGTCAAGCTGTATTTATATCAAATATTACAATCAACACCAATTCTATTTTCTTTCAACTGTGTGTGTCGACTGCAGTTATTCAGTTAGCTTAAGATGAATAGTAACCCTGAGACTGCAGACCCCTTGGGCACATTCGAGTCAGCAGTGTGGGAACATGTGGTTTACATGAGCTTCTCTACATGACCTTCTGTACCTTATTTATACCCTCTAATAGAGGGGAATAATTTTAGCTCCTGGATTTCCTCCGACTAGGTTGTTGGATATTTGATGCTGCATTATGAGGATAAAGCTTTCTCTGTGAATTATCTTTACATTACCTTCCAAACATGCTGCAATTGATCTGTTCCCCCCTCTGCCACATTAATTCTGCTGCAAATGAAAAAGATCTGTGTGAGGGGATGATTACTTGTGGTTAGCAGAATGGCCTGTTATGAGTTGTGGATTTGATGGAGGAACCCGAGGCCTGCTGGTACAGTGTGACGGTGTCACACACGGCCTATGACTGACTGGACTTTGGAATTTTTGACAACATTGGCCAATATCTTGGCCTGGATAATTTATCTTGTCAAACAATGGCACAGTTGCCACAAACGTCAGACACCCACATTCACTTTCTAATTCGGTTTTAGCAGTCAGACTTTGACCCTTACAACCTGCTCAGAATGTTGCTAATACTGTCGTGTCTGCTCTTAACTTTCTTTACCTCTAGTATTTTTTAGCAGTGTGAGTAGGCCCATCTGCATAACCCTCCTTGTCAAAAGTAATTTAAAATGGTAGAAAAAACCGATTAAAGCCTTTGCTGTATCAGTGGAGTGTTGCTTATTCTGCAGCAATGACGTTAAAAGGAACAACGTGTGATAATCTGCGGGAAGAAATTCTCTCCTGTCTGCAGTCTGTGTGTCTGCTCTTCGCTGTTGCTCTTCAGACACAAATTGGCAATGATATTTATTTAGTTATTTATCAGGATCATTCTGGTCCACTCTAAGTCAAATGTCCTAGCTGTATGGGTCTTGTGTTGTGTGAGGCAGGTAAAGTGTGTGCACAAAATGTTGCAAATTTTTAGTATGTGTCAATGGGAGGTGTATGCCTCATAAATTTGAGAGTGTACCAAACAAAACGGATAGTAGTCCCTTTAAGTAAAGGACGGGTCCTAATAACTTCTGATTATGTACATGAGATTTCTACATGAGTGGTCAAGTCATAGGCGTTTTCAAGTGCGTTAGAATGGGTTTACAATATGGAGATTAAAGGCTTGTCCGGACAGAGATTGTTTAAAATAAAAAAGTGTTGGTGTGGATTTAGCATTTGATTACATACTGTAGATTGTTAGCAGATACATGTGATGTGGCATGTGACCTGTAGTTAGAACTTGTATATGATTCTAACCCCTGACAATACCTTACACATTACACCAATGGATAATATATTAATTCCTTGTCTTTGGATCAACAGCTATCATGGAGTTCAAGTTTCAGTGTGTGGCTATCCTAACAGCTTCTCAGAGTTGTATGGGCCAGCTTCCAGTAAGAGCTGTGTGTCAGGTTAAATAGATTCCTGTCCATCCAGTTTGCCAAAATCTTTTCAGTTCTGACATTACACCCACAAATTATTCACAGAATTGATGTGATTCAACAGCTAAGATGTGGAGGTATCTATCATAGTGTCAAGCAGACATGTATTTATGGCTGTTCTAGTAAGGTATATTATTAGCTGAATATTCAATACAGCTAGTAGTAATTTTATGAGGGCTGGTCATGTATTGGATGTGTTAATTTCCCTTGTCACATCTTTATTTTCTATTGTTTCTTCCAGATTATGTGTACTTTGAGAACTCATCCAGCAACCCTTACCTGATCCGCAGAATTGAAGAGCTCAACAAGGTTGGTTGTCTTCTCCTCATCTTTGAACAGTCTCATCACATGTTTCAACATTGTTTTAAATGATCTCATAATGTTTTATTGCTCAGCTGTACTCTCCAACCAGATGTGGCTCCTACCACAGCCAAATATCATCAGTAAAAATGTATGTTAGGACACGTCAGATATAATTCCACTTAACACACTATACACAAACACCATTTCCCTCAGTCCTCAACACACGTTTGCAAACCATAGCTCGAGTAACGACAACCACTTATGTAACCGCAGTAGCATATGACACAGGCTTGTTTCCCAGTCAAAGGATTAAGCTCATTTATGTAATACTCTTACATTGAAGAGCTTGTGCTTAGCACCAGGACTGCATCATCTAGAGTGTTAATGGCTGTTCAGCCCAATGAATGGAAAGTAATGGAGACAGTGGCCTGCTCTCTAGGCCCTGTGTGGAACGAAGATGGAGTCACTGCATATGTCCTGTTGCTACTTTCTAGGGCTGAATAACATTTCTGGGGCTCCAAAGCTGCAGTGAAAATGTCCTGCAAATATTCAACGCTCTAGTGCGGGTGGGAGTGAGGGAGATGAAAATCGGATTGCAACGGTTTGTATTTATACTGCGCTTTCTAGTCCTGATGACCACTCAAAGCGCTTAACAGTTTATTGCCATTCACCAATTCAAATACACTTATTTTTTTACGAGGGGCAATTCAGGGCTCAGTATCTTCCCAGGGACACTTTGGCATGCAGATGAGGAAGACTAGGATCAAGCTGCCAACCTTCTGGTTAGAGGACGACGGCTCTACCCCCTCAGCCACAGCCGCACCCCCGTTAAACTTTGTTAGCATGCAGGTTACATTGACATCAGTGTGAACCGTGGCCTGTGTGAAAAATAGACATTTAAGAAACATCTTCACAAATGTTTTCTTTATTCCAGGTGTTGTTAGCATAGTTTTAACTTGTCAACTGATCATGTGGTGTCCTTGTCTGAGAATGACTAATATTAATTGATGTTGATGCAGTCTTCCCCATCTGCATGCCGATAGATTCATTGTGTGAATGTGTGTGTGAACGGGTGAATGGCAGTATACTGTACTGTAAAGTGCTTTGAGTGGTCATCAAGACTTGAAAAGCTCTGTATAAATACAGACTATTTACCATATAAACAGGAGGAATTGGATCCAGGAAAAGTGACATCTTCAGTGCTGTGGAAGAAGTTTGATAACATTAACCTTTAGATAAAAAGAGCACGGGGTGGCATCACACAACAAAGGCCACATACATAGTCATCTACCCACAATACTGATTACACAGTCCTGAGTGAGGAGAATCTCAGTGCAGAAGCAGGGGAGCATAAACAGCCCAGCAGTAGGCTGAAGTTTGCTGATAATTGGTTTAAAGGTTCTATTTTCACGTTTAAAGTATAATGTTTTACATAGATCTTTTTGTATTTTTATTTTTTTACAATTCCTGTTTGTTACAAGTTAATAGCTGAGATGTAGTTACATGGCAGCATCACAAAAAAAAAACCCACGTCCAAATAAAGAGTAGATAATGCAGATGATGTGGATATAGTGTGAATCTGACATATAAGTCCATTGATATACTGCTATTGGAGCTATAACAGTGTGAACATTTCAAATCACAAGTAATTACTATTAATAATTATTAGGGGTGTAACGGTACAAAAAAATCACGGTTCGGTATGTACCTCGGTTTTGAGGTCAATGTTTGGTACTTTTTCGGTACAGTAGAAACAAGCAACACAAAACATTTTCTTTCTTTTTTTTCTTCAACCCTGGTTAACTGAGCAGACTACTCTCTTACCTAAGTAAATTTTACAAAAGTAAAATAAAAATATAAAAAAGTCTCTCAAATAACTGAATAAATAAAAATCATAAAATATATATCCATTGATGTGCAGCATGTAGAAAATTAACTGCTTAAAATGCACAGATATTGTAATGTATAATTATGATCATTATTCATTATCATTATTAAATATATATATTTTTTAACTTGTCCATGTGCAGGGTGTAGAGGATGGCCCTGCTGGTACTAACAATGTCTTTGCCCTGGAGAACACTCTCATGCTAGGGACAGCTTTTTTATAAAGGGCTGGTATGACCTGCTGGCTGAAATGCAGAAAAGAGGAAACTTCGCACATCAGCTACTATAAAAACACCTATGTTGCATGTTACTGCTTTGACACGGTCTGAATTATTTGCAAGCGGCAGTTTTAATGCTGCGAGGAGCTGGGTTTTCACTGAACTCATTTCTAATGTTAGTGTTATTGGGACATCACTCTGGTGATGCAATTTCAAATGAGTCGGCATGTTCGATGTGCTACCAGCTACGTATACGATTGCAGTTGTGCAATGTCTGCTTTTGTACGATCCACTTATCTTTGCCTGTCGTCATAATAGTGACTGTGAAACTAATGTGTTCCCACACAGCAGACTTAAATGATGATGATAACAAATACAATAATATATACAATAATATTACTAACACCATATGAAATTACATTTCAAAGATGAGGCTTTATTGCAACAAAATGTTCCCTTGATGCAGGAGTCAACATAAACTTAACCCAAGTAAATCAAATATACAAAAGTGTTCATATTTTTTTTCAAAAGTTTTTGTATAATATTGGCCAATTTGTTAGTTTATTCAGAATATCATGGAATATTGATAAGAGTCAATTTAATTGCAGTATTTGCCAATGTTCAGTTCCCCGTTTCAGAAAAAGGTAGGCTACTTGCTATTATTGAACTTCATACAAATATAATTAACAATGTTGCATAGTTATGTTGGGAAATTGATAAAGAAGAAAACAAAGTGGTTTTAAACAGCAGCATTTCCCCCTCCTTTTTCCAGAGACAAACCAAAGCGGAAAAAAATTTTATTAACGTTTTTGTGCACTTGTTTCATTTCAGCTCACTGTGTGAGTCTACTGCATTGTGCATCATTTATGGTGAGAGAGACTTGTTGACAACTTATAATGTTAAGTGCAGATATCAACACCAAACTTATGAAAGTCAGGACATAATGTAAGCATCTGTTTAACACCGGCAAATTGGTGACAGTGGATCCAAGCTATTGCTGATCATTGCCAAAGCACTAGCAGCTCATCAGTTGTTCAGTGTCTTTACTACACATAACCAATCCATGGTACTTGCCGCACCTGCGTGCCTGTGTGTTGACTACAGGACCACAGTAATCATGGTAATTAAATCATTAACATCTATTGACGTACTACCATTTTTCTGTGGTTGACAATGAGACCGACATCCCTACTTGAGATGAAGAAAGGCAACATTAGACACTTATGGACATCATTTGCATAATTTGCACATCATACAGCCATGTGTCACAATTTTTAATCTGGATTTATATCACTGAGGTAACTGGGATGATAGGCTATGCTGCTTCTGGGCAATTCTACTTTCCAATTCAGAACCTCAACATCGCCTATAAATTGAATATAAAATAATATTTTCTTTACCCTTGCATGGGCCCTTTATATTTCAATACTTTATATTGACAAAGAGCAGGTCCTTACCGAGGCAGCCATGTTTCTTTGAAGCAATGCAAACTGAAACTAACGCTCTTACAGTATGACAATTGAAGGCAACCACAACATGCAACTGTGACTGTTTTGTGCATTATATACACTCAGGTTATGCATAGTGTTTCGTTTCTGGTCTTTACTAAGGTTTAATGCAGTTACACTGTCTTACCAGGTGATAATGGAAACTTAAAAAAATGATTTCTGAGTTGTTTTGTTGAGAAAAAAAAAGTAAGTTACTTTATAAGATCAGTACAGAATACTGTCTGTTCCATACAAGTCACTGCCTCATAGTGGTCGTGTTGCAGAAATACTCAGTGTAAGAAAAAACATCTGAAAATTGCAGTCTATGGTCATTTTCTAGTAGCCACAGAAATAGGTATACAACATGAGACTTAGCATAATGGCCATACTTTACAGTTACATTTTGCAACTATTTCAACTTTAAATGACCTAAAAAACATTTTGATGATACACTTACTTGCAATGAGCAGAATGATGCCTCTTTCTGGGCCCTTGTTACTATCATTTGTTAACAGTTCATTATCAATAGGTCATGTACCAAATTACTTCAAAACCACTAGTGTTCAGCCAATTCAAAAATAGCCTCAGCTCAATCACAAGATTGTAGAAAATTAGAGACCATCTCAAAACTACCTTCTATCTCTAAAATAAACACATTGTGGCTAAGCAAATGCTTTACGCTGTTGAATTAAATGCCAATTTTTAAAACGTTCCAATCTGGCTTCCGTCAGCTCCACAGCACAGAGAATGCCCTTCTCAAATTACATTTTTATTTAAGTGCATCTTTTGATACGATTGACCACTGCATCTTATTAGATAGGCTCAGGAAACCGGTGGGTGTATCAGGTACTGCTCCGAGTTAGATCAAGTCCTATCTTACAGATAGAAAATTCTGTGTGTCCTATAATAGCCATATTACAAGTTTAAGAATGAAATTCCACAATGGTCAAATTTAGGATGTACAGAACCGAGCTGCCACGCTATTAACCAGAGTTAACAGGTTTGAACATATCACCCTGGTTTTAGCCTCTTTACACTGGCTTCCAATACATTTTAGAATTTTTTTATGGTACTGTTAATTACCTATAAGGCACTATATCCCTGTATAACCCTATTAGCACTTTGAGATCTTTTGGCAGGGGGTCTTCTATCTTTCACTAACTCAACAAAAGACTAAGGGGAACTGAGCCTTTGAGATAACTGTCCAGAGTCTTTCGAACTTCCTGCACGAGGAAATTCAACAGGCGGAGTCAGTTTATTTTTTTCGTATTGCTCTCCTAGATTTTTTCCTGAGTTCTGTTTTTATCCATCTATTCTTTTATTTTTTTGTACCATTCTAACTTCATTTTATTCTGTCTTTTTCTTTGTGCTTTTATTTGATTTATGCATGAAGCACTTTGCTACCATGTTTTGATAAGTGCTATTTGAATAAAGATTATTATTATCATTTAATTTACAAGCTGTACCCTGAACACTTGTTCTCGCTCTATGCAACTGTGGTGAGCAGGTACCATCTCCTGTGAGACGTGTCCCACAGAGATGTGTCAGAGGCTCTAACTGGCAGAATCAGGCCCAGGAAGTTGTACATAAATCCCAAACTGTAGATCAGTTAAAAAGACTTAAAGGTCATACAAGCTAGTGTTTTAATGATTTTGAATGACATTTGAGTTCAGTGAGTGGTAGGTGTATATATAGAGGGTGGATTGCTTGGTTTTTGACCACAATATATCTAGGCTGGTTCAAATGATATGGTGAGAATCCAAACTGTCTTTGGACCCACTAATGTCAATGAAACTGAGCCCTACTAAACTTTTCACGACAGCTGTAAACTCCTTAGCAGTGAATTTAACCAGCATGGCTAAGGAGTTGGAGAAATGAGTAATGCTGCCAAAGCTTAGACTTTCCATATTATTGTTCAATATCAGGAAGTTAAACTAGTGATTCATTACGGTGCTAACTTTTAACCACTGACTCTCCATTTACAGACAGCCAATGGAAATGTGGAGGCAAAGGTGGTGTGTCTGTTCAGGAGGCGAGACATCTCTGGCAACCTCAACACTCTGGCTGACAGCAATGCAAGTGAGTAGCAACCACAGAGCTCAAGCCTCCTTCTTCTTTTTTGCTCGGCCCACAAGCCTTCAGCTTGAGAGCAAGTATGATATACTGTAGCTCACTGCCTTTACTGAACCTGTTCCTCATTGTGTTTCATATAAAAGCTTCAAAGCACCTCTTTAGCTTTTATGATCGAAATTGAACCAAGGCCCGTTTCAGGGTTATTAGAAGACCATCGCTTTGCATTTCAATTCATTTAGTTTTTTTATATACATTAAATAGATTCTTAGAAAAGGGAGATGACCACAGTAGATGGGGTTAATACACCTTGATGTTGGTTGCCACCTGACGATAAACCGAACAAAGAAGGCTCAGTGCTTAAAGGATAGTTTGCAAAAAGCTTTTAGTAAAGGGACTTGTTAGATAACAAATTGTGTTTATAATCAAGCAGATTAAGTAAGCAACCTACAACAGAGTAGGTTTACACAAACATGCCCAGTGCACCTAAATGTTCATGTGACATTCTTTGCAAGTTAGTATGGATGGGGATAATTATGTAGACATTACAATACACATGTAGACAGAGATCATTTTAGTTTTAAAATGCTGTTATAAAATAAAAACGTATAAGGATGTAGCCTAACTGATGCCTGTGAATCTGATAGGGCCATTTCCAAATCATCTCACAGACATACACCACCAATAAATGACTGAAAGAATTTCTTATTCTTTCCAACCTTTGTATCAATAATATCCTCTCATAATGTCTCACTACATTGTTCCTGCCCTACACTGATCAGCCTGTGAGCCCTGTCTGTGTCTTGTGTGTGATCAGAGAGCCAAGGAGGTGGGAGGGTGGAGGTAGTGGGCTGGTGCTAATGGCATGCAGACTACTGAAGCCTAATCACATTCACTCATTACCCCCACCCCAACACTATAACCCACTCCCCCTCCCTACTCTTGGGCTGCAGTACTTCAGACAAAGACATCTACACACACACACACACACACACACACACACACACACACAATGGACGATTAAATGGAATTTAGAATTTAGACTAATTGACTGGTCTAAAAATAAGAAAACAGTCATAATTGATTAAACTGTAATCAGGATCACGGGATCTAAGGGTAAAAATTTCATATTATTTTGGCTTACATGAATCAAGTTAGTACCAGTAGTCTTTTTACCTTGCGAAATAGCATCCACATAGACATTGCTGAGATTATACAGCTTTTTATTCTTACAGCCTCCATACAACGACATTTTAATTCTCTACATCAAAATACTGCCAAAGTCTGCTGGTATGAGCAGTTGTCATCTGTCCCAGTTAGCACCGTTGCAACATCCGTGCATTAGCATGGGCGCTTCCTTCTGCCAGGGCAACAGCAAGAAGTGGGTGGCTGCCAACATTTGTGACACAACAGTTCACTGTTCATTGTACACCGATAAAATATTAATTTGTTTAATCAACTAGTGTTTCTGGTGCTGTCCAGTGAGGGTAACATTTAATCCTAATAATAAAAAAGATAACAATACTTTATTTAGTTAGCACTTTACAAAACACTTAACATTAGACAATATAACAAATCAGTCAAATAAACACCAAAGATGAAATTGAGAATGGCTTTTGAAGTACTTTTATCAGTGGATAAAATTATAAAATAATTAAACAACTCAGATAAAACCAAGAAAGGCTTTCTGGTATAAATATGTTATGAAGTACTACCAGTATCAATAAAATAGTCAAAACAACTTGTAACTTCCGCATACAAGTCATTCCAGGGGTCTTCTCTTCTGAGCCCTGACTGCAAAGGTTTTTAGGGTGTTTAAGTTTTTAGGCTGGTCTCTGTAACAGTGAGGATCTCCAGCTATGCAAATGTTCATATGGGATCAGAAGGTCTAAAATATAATAGGGAGCCAAGCTATGGGGTGCCTTGAAGGTAATCATCAACAATATCAACGTCAATTCTAAAAGACCCAGGAAGCCAATGAAATGTGGCCAAACACACGATCATCAGACACAAATGTTTGTTCCACTTTGGCCAAAGTGCATTTCACTAGCCGGCAAGATATTGCATTGAATACATGCAAGCTCACATTTCTGTCATATTAGTTTATAATGGGAATAGTGTAGTCCTGTTGTTTGTATTGCAATCATGGAGAAGAAATTGAAATAACTTCTACGATGACGCTTGAGAGTTTTTGAATCCTTCCTCATATTAGTCATTGTTTTGGTTCCTCTAAATCCTTCATGCTAATGGTTCTGGTGTATATTTGTGGAATAATGTAGTCATCAGACCACTGACAAGCTAATTAACATGAACTTATGCAATTCAGGGCTGTTTTTTTGTATTAATATAGATGATCATATTTAGGATTTTACTAAATTATTGTGATCTTTTATCATCTGTTGTTAGACAATATCTCTATATCGTGTAACATTCCATTGATTCACGAGCCAGATTTAGTCATTTGTGAGAGGAAATTTTGTAATGCAACAATCCATGCATGTAAATAATTCCTTTGGGAGCATGATTTTTACCATGACAAATAAGACACCTGCTGAGCTCTGTAGGAAGAGGAAGGATACTGATTAAGGTCTGAGCTCTAAATTAAGGTGATCATGTATTTTCTTATTTGGAGCAGTTTGAATATGCACTTTGTCCTGCATCATACTCTGGGCCTGCTGGGAGGAACTTGGGATAAAACAGCCTGTTTGCTAGCTCGACTGTAATGTCAGGTAGAGCTAAGCTGGACCAGGCTAGTCTGGAGGGATATGTTTATATTCTAACTTATACTTTACTTATACCTTGATATGAAAGTAGCCTGACTTAAGCCTGAGGTAAACATGGTCCTACATGGCTGTCTTGCTTTATGAGACACTCCTCAGCTCTGGCTAAGATTGTTATGATCCTGTGCCAGTGATGAGTAGGTGAGCAGGCGCCTTCTCTCTGCTGCTGCTCACTTGTAATAAACCTCGCTCTATCTGCCTCGTGTTTTTCATCTCTGCTCCCCTCCTCTTCTTCCTCCTTCTACACTCACATCAATTCTTTGTGCAGAACAAAAGGCCCTTGATCTGTCCCTGAGGGCCACAGAACGGGTTAATTCTGACTTGCCTAGCGTCTTCGTCAGAGCAAATAAAGTGTGTGTGTGTGTGTGTGTGTGTGTGTG